TGAAATTTAGATGACTTTATGATGTTCAGCTCACTAGTGTTTTTAAAGGGCCATTTGAGACATATACTAAAACTTAATTTTGAGTTATAGAGGACAGTGAAACAATTTTGTAAACTTTCTTTGCTGTTTTTTCAAAAACAACATTATGCTAAGATAGTATTGTAGTCCAGGATAGTGTTTCAAGAAAAATAACAACAACAAAAAAAGAGATTTATTGAGAGCTTACATTACATGCCCCACCCTGTGCCAACTGTATTACATGGATTATGTCTTTGGACCTTTGAGGAGCATGGTGTATTGTCCCCATTTCTCAGAGAAACCAAACTGAGGCTTGGAGAGTTTAAGCAATTTTGACCATGTCATACAACGAATGCCTAGTGGAGTCTTGTAAGTAACTGCTCTTGAACATGTTCTCCTGCATTTAAAGCAAGATGTCCTTTGGTGTGAGGTGATACATAAAGACACACGCATATACACACATGCACGTGGCAAATCATTAACAAACTGGGAGATTTTAATATGAGTAGAAATGGCTATTTAGAACATATGAAAACAATGTCATGTAAGATCATCAGAGTCATGTATGCATAGGATGAAGATATTGCAGGCCTGAAAATAGATGCATTTGGGCCTGGGTTAAAAATCATTTGACAGATGTTTTAATCTGTCCCTTGCTAGAACTGATGCCAATGCTGAATGCCCAATCAGAAGATGAGTTGGCAGGTAAGACTACATTCTACAGTGTCTGGCTGGCCCTAAGGCATTTTGTGTGACTTGTGAAGACATTACTATGTCACAAAGATTATAGGCAGAGAGACTCAGCAGCAGGAAGAAGCACAGGACATGGGACGGGGGCAGCTGGGGATGACACAGGTGGGGCGATAGCAAGTGGTGTGGCAGGAGACCCGGCCACAGACTGGGCACAGGCAGCAGCAGGGGCAGCAGTAGCTGGGCCCGCAGCAGCTGGAGCCACAGCAGGAGGGGCGGCAGCAGCTAGAAATGCAGCAGGAGGGATGACAGCAGGTGGAGCCACAGCAGGCGGGACAGCAGCAGCTAGAAATGCAGCAGGAAGGGCGGCAGCAGCTGGAGCTACAGCAGCTGGAACCACAGCAGGAGGGGCGGCAGCAGCTGGAGCCACAGCAGGAGGGGTGGCAGCAGCTAGAGCCACAGCAGGAGGGGCGGCAGCAGCTGGACACACAACAGCTGGGACCGCAGCAGGTGGTCCTGCAGCAGGTGGTCTGGCAGCAGCTGGGGCGGCTGCAGGTCTTCTGGCCACAGCCCTGGTCAGAGCAGACGGAGCCACAGCAGGAGTCGACCATGGTGTCAGAGGGTGGAGGTTCTGGGTGGGTTTCCAGAAGAATGAGGTTCTCAAGTGTGATCTCTCCTTGCCCTTTGTCACTTTTATACCCTGCTGAGAGCTACTATGACCATGTGCAGGACACTTCTTGTTGTTTATCCTAATAGAAAATCAGTTAGTTTTAGTAAATCAGATAATTATTTTTATCTGGTAAATATACCTATATATAGAAAAGACTCCATTTCCTTCTCCTGTTGTACTGTGAGCTCTCTGGTTAAAACCAAGTGAATCAGCTCCCTTTATTTTTTCCCTTGTCTGATGTGTCTTCCAAAGTAGTCCCATCCCATGTCATTGTTTCATTGGATTTCACAAGTATTAAATCTTCATTTATGTATTTAACTCCAGGATAGTATGTTGAGAATGAATTTTATGATGACTAAATCTGCTGTCAAAGAGGTTAACAAGAAGTCATATGAGAATGCTGGTAGGAAAATAGGATGAAAGAGCCATCTTGCGGGGGGGGGGGGTCCCTTGTGTGCAGTGGAGAATACTGTGATTCCTTTGGATTTTATGGATGGCCAGTGAGGTGTGAAGGATCCTAACAAAGTTCCTATCTGTTTTGTCTTATTGAATCTATTCAATTTGAACATTATAATGCAATGATTCATTACTATTAAATAGTAAAAAACCCAGTGGCATGGATAGGTGTTTTTAAAAATAATTAAATTATTATGGACATGTTCTTCAGAGATAGGGTATCATAAAGGAGTATTTTTTAACCTATTTTAGTGGATGAACATACCCAATAGAATATGTATATTGAATATTTTCTTATATTCTGAGCTTTTGTCTCTCAAAAACTTATGTTTGAGGTATTTTGCTTGATATAAATCATATCTAAGGGGTTAAGCTTTAATCTGTGTCCTGTAGGCACTTGAATAAGACAAACAAGACACATATGTAGGGGTTTGGCAAGCATGTAGAACATTGTTGATAAATAAAAATTATGTACTTAAATCTGTACACTTACAAAATATGAGATAATACTAATAGTTACTATTTCTGAGTGCCTGTTGTGTGACAGGAATTTTGAGTCTTCTTTGTTACCTTGTTTATACTTCACAAGGGCTCTAAGAAGTGGTCACAACTTTTCTTAATTCTTCAGACATGAGGTAATTGAGGCTCAGATATATTGAAGTCGTATAGTCAATAGAGAAGATGGTTCTTTCTTAGAAGTTTCAAACAGGTGTGAGGAGTAACCCATGTCCTTTCTCATACTGTTTCATTTGTGTAAGTGTGCTTTCTCCCTTGTCAATTCAACAAACTCTTGCTCATACGTAAATGTCTAGTCTGGATACCAACTCATCTCTAATGTCTTTCTTGACATCTACCACATTCAAAACAAATCCTTCTTTCCCTTTTTCTCCAAGATATCTGTGCTATAGGGTATCACACTCTATCATAATTGGTTCATATTCCCCCCAATCCTTCTATATACCCCATGAGGTCAGAGATTGGCTTATTCATATATATAAACATGGTGCCTAGTAATTGATCTGAATGAATGTTAGTTGAGTGAATGTGGAATTTATGGAAAACATAGGGCATTTACTCACCCTTTATCATACTATAGATAATCTAGATGGATGGAGAAAAGAAAAATATTCAGACAGTGGGGATATGATTGAATGGGGGTTTATTTTTGGCTTCTGTTGTAGTAAATGACTTCTCTGGTTGGTATTTGTAGGATGGTAAAGAAAAATAATAATCCACTGCTAAAATGAGAATGTAAAGATATTCGAATTTATGCAAAGAAAGTGGATATTGTATCATCACACAGTTGGGAGAAAGGTGTGAGAGAACATCTAGGCTTTTAAAATATTTGGCTGGGGGTGGGTGGAGTGACAGGAAGCAGGAAGAAAGTTTAGGTGGTGGTTGCAGGCTAGGGATGAGAGATGAATGCCTGTCTAGGTTGGTGGCAATGGGAGCAGTAAGGAGGATAGTGATGCAATCGCACTTCAAAGAGAGTCAACCAGGATCACTTACAAAATGGGCAGTAGAGTTGACAGGAGAACTCACTGTTAAAGAGAACTCATAATTTAATATATTTTTAAATTGTATACACATACATTTTGCAATTAAATTCTGATAGTGAAAAGATAATCATTTGTAATAAAGAAAATATATTTTAAAATCTCACCAGAAACAAAGTAAAAAGACAAATGACTGAATGAAAAAAAAATACTTGCAATTTATACTAAAGACAAAGAGCCAATGACCTTAATATATAAAGCATTTCTAAAATTAGACTGGAGAAGAGGAAAAACCTGATGGAAAAATAAAATGAAGATCTTTCTTCATCATATAGAGATGCCCAGTCTCACACATAGGAATAGAAATGAAATTATACAGGATACAACTTCTCACCTGTGGGACTGTCAAAAACTCAAAATTTGACAATATTGTCTAATAGATTATGTGGAAATAGGCATGCTTATACCTTTCTTACAAAGATTTGACAATAATTAGTGGCATTATTCTTTGACTCAGCTATCCCAATTCTATAAATTATCCAAGGTTACTCAGGCAAAACTATAAAAAGATGTTATGCAAGATTATTCATGGCACTGCTATTTGTAAAAACAAAACAAGAGCTAGACACAACCTGGATGTCCTTCAGTAGTGTAGGAGTGAATAAGCTCTGGTGCATCCCCATGATAGAGTACTATTCAGCTGTAAAAAGGAATAAGGAGTATCTTTATATGGTACTATGAAGTAATCTCCAGGATATATTGTTAAGAGATGATAAAGCAGATGGAGCAAAGTGTCTATAGTATTCTACAATGTGTCTAAACAAATAAGGGAGGGATGTGGGTAGGGGATGGGCTAGATGGCTGAAGGGATTAAGGAAGGCACTTGGGATGAGCACTGGGTGTTATATGTAAGTGATGAATCACTGAATTCTACTCCTGAAACCAATGTTATACTATATGTTAACTAACTAGAATTTAAATGAAAATTTGGGAAAAAAAAAACAAATGCTGATGGGTAGAAAAAAATAAGGGAACACATATAGAAAATCTATTTGCTTATATTACATGAATTTTTTTAAATGAAGAACAGAGGAAAAAAACAAAGGGACTTATATTTCCTGCTGAGGAGTTTAGGGATTGGATTTACCTTTCTGCCTGAAGCAACTAAAAAACTAGACAAAATAAATGAAACTGTTTTTTAGACATTGGCTGTCAGGTCAGAACACTGGTAACTTAGGGGAAACAAATGAGGTGATCCCTAGAATTGCCTCAGTTTATTTCTTGAAGAGAGTTTCTGGGGGGTGCAGCTCTGGGAGAGAGAACCAGGTAGAACCTGGTAATCCTCCTGACTTGAGGAGACAGAGTTGGAATGAAGGAGGCCAAGTCGGCAGCAATTCACAGGATAGAGTACCAGAGAAGAGAGAGTTGCACAGAGAACCTCAGAGATCTGCAGAAGGTCCACCTGCATCTAGAGCTGAGTACTTATGAGTGAATGTACATGAAGAAACTACCCAAGGGCAGAAAAAGAGCTGCCCTGCCCCACCCTACCTCCATAAAAGACAAAGGGAACAATTCTTGGAGCTGACAAAAGGCCAGAAACAGCACATGCTCCCATGAGCCAGAGTGAAAAACCTTTTAATTCAGGGGTCATTGGTTAGAGTATTTAGAATAGTATTGCCTCAGGAGTGGGGCAAATTTTTCCCTAAAGGGTGCTCTGACCCCATCTCACACAGTTTATAAGTAAGTCTTGAAAGGATCAAACTATTAAATCAACTTAATTGCATCCCAGAACAATCAATTAATTGGATTCCATCAAAAAAATTTTACTTTTCAAAAGATACTGTTTAGACAGTAACCTCTTTGATATCGGCTGTAGCAACTTTTTTTCTAGATTTGTCTCCTGAGGCAAAGGAAACAAAAGCAAAAATGAACTATTGATATTACATCAAAATAAAAAGCTTGTGCACAGTGAAGGAAATGATCAACAAAACTAAAAACAACCAACTGAATGGGAGACGATATTTGCAAATGACGTGTCTAATAAAGAATTAGTATTCAGAATATATGAGGAACTTATAAAACTCAACACCCAAAAAGCGAATAAGCCACTTATAAAATGGGCAGAAGACATGAACAGACATTTCTCCAAAGATGACATATAGATGCTCATCATTATTTGCCATCAGGGAAATGCAAATCAAAATTATAATGAGGTAGGACCTCACACCTGTCAGCATGGCTACAATCAACAACAGAAGACACAACAGGTGTTGGTGAGGCAGTGGAGAAAGGGGAAGCCTCCCATGCTATTGGTAGGAATGCAAACATTGGGGGGGGTGCATCCACTGTGGAAAATGGTATGGAGTTTCCTCAAAAAGCTAAGTAGGGGCGTCTGAGTGGCTCAGTCATTAAACATCTTCCTCCAGCTCAGGTCATGATCCCAGGGTCCTGGGATCTAGCCCCATTTCAGGCTCCCTCCTCAGCAGGAAGCCTGCTTCTCCCTCTCCCACTCCCCCTGCTTGTGTTCCCTCTCTCACTGTGTCTCTATCAGATAAATAAAAATTCTAAAAAAAAACAAAACAAAACTAAAAGTAGAACTACCATATGATCAAGTAATCGCACTGCTGGGTCTTCCCTACCCTCCCCCAAATACCAAGACACAAATTCGAAGGATACATGCATCCCTGTGTTTATAGCTGCATGATTCACAACAGCCCATGTACGGAAGCCCAAGTGTCTGAGTGTCCACCGACAGATGAATGGATAAAGAAAATGGGGTCTCTATTGCCAATGGAAAAGTATTCAGCCACAGAAGACAATGAAATCTTGCCATTGGCAATGACATGAATGGAGCTAGAGAGTATACTGCTAAGTGAATAAATCAGTCAGAGAAAGACAAATCCACATGATTTCACTCATGTGGAATTTAAGAAGCAAAACAAATGAGCAAAGGGAAAAAAAAGAAACCAATCAAGAAACAGACTCTTAG